AAATTATGTATATCTATTTAGTATTATTTGACACAGATTCATTTCAGCTGAAATTTACCCAATACACTCAAGATGAATATTCCCAGCTATCTCTGTCTTCACCAAATGCCACAACGAATGTTGTTGAATTTCTATGTTAGCAATTAAACACATGGTGGATTTGCATGAGATTAAAAAAACAAACCATCAGCATTATTTGTATAAATCACTGAACATTAGTAGATAATGTCAATCCCACGTACATGGTCTTAACATGTGCCCAAGTTCAATCTGACTGAGTCTGACCATAGACAGCAGGTCTCATCTATATAGCCAGAGCAGAGGGGCACTGTGAAACCTTGCAGGCTCTTGAGATGTGAAAGACAAGAGCTGATTACAACATCAAACAATCGGTGAGATCTACAGAGATAAAGATGTTTGATGGCTTTGTTTTGTTCATGGCAATATCTTAGAATGGGATGGCAGTCTGAGAAGGCTAAAATAACAGACAACTTCGAACAAGCCCCAGTTTAACATTAACACTGCCTTCGCTCCACAGAAAAACACAGAATGTGATGCAGGAGTAATCTGCACAGAAGAAGGACAAGTTCATCCTCAGCAAAAGAAAAACATACACATAAAGAAGCCTGAAGCCAGGCATTAACTTTTTGATTTTTCTGTACTTGTGCTATTGTTAAACTGCATGTTACTACCATTTATCACTGCTCTGTAATTATCACTTGTAGAAAGTTATGGTTTTAATTTGTTTGGAGTTGAACTAATATATGTAGTGATAACATAAAGAAGTTGAAGCTTCTTTATGTTATCACTACATATTCAGTTGTAGTGAATATGTAGTGATAACATAAAAAAGCTTTAATTGTAACTATGCAATGGAGGCAGTATTTCTATATTATCTCCAATATCTTTCTAGAATATATTTTATTGTTATTGTCCGTGGATTAAAAAAACAAACATAAAAAACACAATACAGTGTAGAAGCAATGAGTTACTCGTAGATGATATATAAGACCAGTAAATTTATCCAACAAACAGTATTTTTTTATCATGTGGCAAGCATTAAACATAAAGTGCTTATACCTTTAGCTGCATTTCAGCATTGAATAATGGTCAATCAAGGGTGGCTTTTGTGAAGAATTTACAAAAAAGACTCATTTGTGTAAAAGTGAAAACAGATGTCTAAAAACTAATGTCAATTAATTACAAAAGTAAAACATACATGAAGTGATCGCATAAGTATTCACCCCCTTTAAAGGGGGTGAACGGTCATGAACAGAAGTTTACATACACATGTAAAGATCAAGCATATCCTAGGACTCTTGAGTTTCCAATGACTCCTTCAGCTCTTCATTTTCTATGATGGATTGATTGTAAGACATGTCTTTGTCCAAGAAACTAATCATGCATTTTGGTTTTTTCATAAATTTATTATAGATTTTCTGAAAATATATCTGCTGGATCAAAAATATACAAATACCAACTTGAATGATCCATTTTAGTGATGTAGAAAGCTGTGCTATTCCATTTTTCTTAGTGGCATGGCCTCTTAGCTTCAAGTCAAAAACATACATACAGCAAAGTTAATATTTGGTTAAATGTCCTTTGGCATTTTCAACTCATTTCAGCACTTTTGGTAGCTGTCCACAAGCTTCTGGCAGGCTTTCATCTTTGAACACTGTTCTTAACACAATTGGTACAGTTTGACTAAATTTGTGGGTTTTCTCACGCAGATATGTTCCCTCAGCACAGCCCCCAGGTTTTCTGTGGTTCTTAAGTCAGGACTTTGGGGTGGCCAGTCTAAAACATTAATTCTAGCCACTTTTGATGTGTGCTTGGGGGTTATTGTCTTATTGGAACCCCCAACTGCATTGAAGACCCAACCTTCTAGCTGATAAATTTAGGTTTTTCTGAAGAATGAGCAGGTAATCCTCCTTTATTATTATGTTTATTTTTGTAAAACACCACTTGTACTGGCAGCAAAACAGTTCAAGAGCATACCGCTGCCACCACTATGCTTGATGGTATGAATGGTGTTCTTGGGATTAGAGGCCTCCCCATTTCTCTTCCAAATGTATTTCTGGTCATTGGGGCAAAAAGCCATTTTTTTAAATGATTTATCTGACCACAGAACTTTCCTCTAGAAGGCCTTTTCTTTATCCCTGTGATTAGGAGCAAACTTCAGTTCAGCCTAAAGCAGGTGCTTCTGGAACAAGGGCTTCCTTCTTGCATGGCAGCCTTTCAGCCCCTGGCCATGTAAAAAAATAAATAAAAAATGATCATGGACCCTGACACCTGTGTTCCAGCAGCTCCTCATTCATTGCAGACCTGCCTGTTGGTGATTCTTGGTTGATTCTTGACCATCCTAACCAATTGTCTCTCAGCAGCAAGTGATTGTATTTTCTTCCTTGTGCCAGAGACACAACTGTGCCACACATATAATACTTGCAAACAATTTTCTGCACAGATGATTTTGGGATCTGTAGATGCTTTGAAACGCCTCCAAGTAACTTACTTGACTTGCTCAAGTCAATGATTTGCTTTTTCAGATCTTTGCAGAGCTCCTTAGACTTTCCCATTGCAGGGTTTATGGCTGAGTCTAATGAGTGGATTAAATAGTCCTATTGAATTGGGCTCAGAGGAGTCACTCGTCAATCATAATCACTCACAAAAATTTAAGAGGCCGTGCCACAAACAAAATTGGATTCACTGTCTATATCAACTAAACTGATAATTCCAGATGCTGTATCCATATTTTTCACCCATTTTGTCCTATTTTCAAAAGATCAAAAATATATTTATGAAAACAACAGTTATGAATGTTTTTTTGACAAAGACACATGCGTCAATCAATCCATCACTGAAAATTAAGAGCTGTGGGTATAATTGAAAACTTGAGACTGACATGATATACTTGGCCTTTACAAGTGTATGTAAACATTTCTTCATAACTTGAATTCAACACAGGTACAGCCAAGTGGTGTTAGAATTCAAACAATGAGTGAAATAAGATTATCTGAATGTGTCCTAAGTGACTGTAGTATAAAAAGGCCTGTATCTGAAAGGTCCGTTTACTGATGAATCAGAACTGGCAATATCTACACCATGAAGACAAAATATCACTCCAAGCAACTCTGTGAAGAGGTTACTGAAAAGCATAAATCAGGGTGGATCAATGCAGGACAATTTCCAATCACTAAAAAGCCCTTGGAATACAACGAGATTCATCACTAAAAAGATGAAAGAAATATGCAACATGTATAAAGATGCCTTAAGCAGGCCATCCCTAAAAACAGTGTGCACGAAAGACAGTCGTGAGGGAGGCTACCAAAACACCTATGATTCCTGTAAAGGAGTTACAAGCTTCAGCAGCTGAAATGAGAGAGACTGTGCCTACAACAACTACTGCCCCTAATTCTTCACTAATCAAAGCCACTATTAAAAAAAAAACAAAAAAACTCAAAACTTGAATCTTGACTAGAGTTTGACAGATTGCAAGAAGGAGACTTTGAAGTCAAACGAAAGAAGGTTTTTTGGTCTGATAAAATCAAAATTCAGGTTTTTGGACATCAGACATAATAACAAACACACAATCCCCACTGTAAAGCATGGTGGTGAAAGCATCATGGCGTGGGGGTGCTTCTCAGCACTTACCAGAAGACGGTGAGCTTTTTTTGCCTTTGCTATCAAGAGATCTTCACAGTGTGATTACTTGAATGACATGGAATCCAAATTTTTCACAGATTTTGGCTTTTAAAGGCTGTGGTCTTAAACTTTTGATCAGCTGATGAACAGCCTATTTGAGTTAAATTGCTGTTTTCAATAAATTGCCTGCTCACAACTTTTGGTCTCTTGTTACCATTTCTTCTTTTTGCATTTTGAAGCTCTACTTAGAACCTTCCTAAGATCCAACAGTGCAAAATACAAATTCATGCAATTTTTTCAATGGTCTTAAGATTTTGATCAGGAGCGTGTTTTCTAGAAAGACAATGTCCCAAAACATACAACCAAAGCTAGACAGAAGTGGTCTGAAGACAACAAGGTGAATTTTCTGGAGTGGCTAAGTCAGAACCCAGACTTCACTCGAATAGAGAATTAGAATATTTGTAAATCCATGTCCAAAAATACAAATGGAAACTACCACGAGTCATTGTTGAAAAGCAATAAAAATGGACAAAGCTTCCAAGAGGGATGAATGCTTTCTATTTCCCACTGTATAAAACACATTAAGTATAAAGTTGCATGATGACAACTCATAACACAGCAAAAAAAAATAATAATAATAATTTCAAAAGGTGTGTCTGCCAATACTGCAATTTAATTTGTTTGTCTTTTCCTCTTGCCATTTCAGAAAAGGAATTAGATTATTATTGATTTTACTACTTGCCATTTTGTAACACATTAAAGCAACTTCATATTCTCAAATTCTATTCTAATTCTAAGTACTACTGAGGAATTCAGAGCCCAGATGTTCCTTTCTAATCTGTGTGAAGCACAAATTAGCATTACTTGCATGTGACCATTTCATGTGTGATGGACATTTTTAAACTAAGCTGAAAATTCTGCAGCACTACATAGAAGAAGAACTATTGATCAGTTAGCATATATATATACATGTATAAATAACCCTTTGTAAATTTCGTAATCATGGCTAAAACTGTATTTATCGTCAGTTCTGCTGATTATTTCATTAGTACTTTTCAGAGTGCCTCACAAGTGCCACCCACATTTCCAAATTCAGCAATTCAAGTAGGTCTGGTGTTGTGCTTACAGCAAATTATTCTTACATGCTGTGGGGCAGTACGAAAACAGATTATCTCTGGAAATGCACTCGTGGACAACCTTTAGTTTATGTCTTCATAGTTCAGATTAATCACTTTCTTTGTATTTTTTTTTTAATCTGCATATGTTCATATCTGTTATTCATGACTATTTCAGATAGTCAGTACAAGTGCAGTCTGCGTTACCATGGAAATGACCTGGTTGCCATGGGGCTGTCTCACCTGATGGGTAGCCAGTCCTGTCAGGTGGGATGGAGAGGAGGGAGTCAACGATGGCTGCCCTTCGCTGGAGGAGGGTGGAGATCATCTCCAGCCCCTCTGGGCCGAGCAGCTCAAACAGCTAGAGGGAGGAAGGGAGGGGGGTGAAAATCAGTAGCTATCAGTCAGAAATATAGCCATCTAAAACAGCAGCAAACATACCACCTTGCACACATCCAAATACATACACACATTCTATGGCTCACCAACATTCCCAAACATGCTGCTACTGCCAAGGCTGAACACCTGGTAATTACCATCCGCCTGGTGCAGAATATGCTCTGCCGCTTAGCCTCCTAGACACAGCCACCTGGCACTTAGTGAGTGACAGAAAAACAACAACAACTACAACAAATCCTGCGCACAGCAGAAACAGTGCACAATTAAGGCATACCCAAGCAAAGGCTGCACAGACAGTTATCAATAAAACTGTGAGACAGAATTAGAGGAGATGAGAAAGTGTGTCCTTTCTAATTGTTAAATCATAAGACGTGATGGCACAGGTAGTGTAAATTGAACTTGTAAAACAATACAGTATTGTTTTCCGCTCTCTCTTAAGGCTTGTTTTCAGGATGGAGGCATGGCTTGCTCTTTCAGTCTGTCCTCTCTTGGGAAGGCAATAGTCAGCACAGCAGGGAACAAAAACAGCAGATGCACTTTGATGTCAGGTTACCCATCGTCTTTGTTGTGGCTATCTTTGTTTCCCTCAGTGGTCTCTTTTATATCTGTTCGAAACTTCTATCAGTTCCACTGAATGTCTGTTTTATTAGAGCTGAGTGTATGTCAGGAGTGGGTGGGAGATGGGATGAGGAGTGGGGAGTCAGGTATGAGGTTTCACATGCTTAAAGGATATTTTTTATCAACTCTCGTGAATTCTGCCCTTGGAGCTGACTGATTAGATGTGGATTCCACAGTGACGGAGAGACAGACTTTGTCCTTCAAATGGCTTCTGTACAATCACCATCCTACAAGCAAGCCCAGTTCCAAAGCATTAACTGTGCAATAACGCCACATGTGCTAAGCAACAGGTTAAGAGTGGAAATGTCTGTGTCCTCTGCTGCTTTCTATTCAGCCTTGCCTTCTCAAATTTTTAACGGATAAATGACACAACTAAGGACTTTTGGAATGGAATCACCACTAGGCAGTTCTGTATCATCCTGAGTTCAATTCCACAGCAGAAAATACACTTTAGATTCAGTTTGAGAAAATACTGAATGAAATTACATATAGGATCGATAAATAACAGAACATACTGTTTTGTTTTGTTTTTTTAATACTAACATACAATATTAAGAAGGAATATAAATAACATTTTTAAACAGTAAATTGATAACTAGTAATGTATACATATGTCATATTTGAATGTAACATTTTTATAGTTCAGGGGGAACTCTAACTCGTCTTTTGACCAAACAGTTTGGTAAATTATTACCTTTTTGTTATTAAACAAGCCTGAGCTTAACGGTACAGTGATGAAACAGTTCCAGTGAGACAGGGACAAAATCATTGCAGGGCTGACATGACACTTACACTATGCAGCCTGTGTAAACAAGCTGTTACTGCCAAAAATGATTTATGATGCTACATTTATATTTATGTACAGTGAGTTTCAAAAGTCTGAGAATATATCAAAAATCTGTCATATTTTCAAGGAAACCTGGAAATAACCAGAAAGTTTGAGTATTTAGAAACATTTATAAACAACAGAAGCTTTGACATGTCAAATGAAGAACTTTCATATTCTGTGCTATTTCTAGGTCACCAATCATACTGAAGAAAAATTATGTCACTGGCATCCATTGAAGCAGCATTTGGATGATACTCAGGTGAATTTAGTTCACTCACTAGAGCTTGTTAAACTACATCAACCTGTAGCCATTTTTTTTTTTTTCAACGGGGGCAGTGCATGGTACTCTAAATTGCTTTTTTGGAAACAGCATCAGTTGCACTACAAGCAGATCAAAAGTTAGCACACCATCAGATACATCAAACTTTGTTCACTAAGAGATAAAAAAGAAACTTTTCACACATACAAAATTTACTAAATAAAGAAACAAGACACTAATCATCAACACTATTAAAAGAAGACTGTCTAGTTGTGGTCTTAGAGGATGAGTGGCATTTCAGAACCATTTCTTTGGAAGCAAAAATAAGACCAAACACTTGGGGTGGACTAAGACATAGTTGCAATTTACAGTTGATGACAGTAAAAGTCATCTTCACTGATGAATCCCAATTGGAGATTAGTGACAGTGACAGAAGGGTGTATGTAAAGACACCAACAGGAGTGACAGTGATACCACAGCGTTTTAAACCCACAGTGGCAAGAATACTGCAGTCTGCAGGTGTTTTGTCTACTTGGAAGTTGGACAACTGCAGTGAGTGAACACAACCCTCAACAAAGAGGAGTAGCACTCCACTCCTTAGAGGCATGCTCCATTACAGCCTGGGCATACAAGGGAGACAATGAAATTGTGTGAAAACAGCCTTATCCACAAGCCCCTGCTGAGCGCTGCGGCCATATGTCGTGGAGGGAAGAACTCTGACTATTATCTGTCCTTATGCACCGAACAACAGCTCAGAGTACCCTGCCTTCTTAGACTCCCTCGGTTGGGCCCTGGAAGGGGTTACACCTGGGGACTCTATAGTTGTCATGGGGGACTTCAACGCTGACATGCCTCTCTGATCTGAACCTGAGTGGTGTTCTGTTATTGGACTTCTGTGCTAGTCATGGACTGGCTCTAACAAATACCATATTCAAGCATAAAGTGGCTAATAAGTGTAAATGGCACAAGGGGACCTCAGGCCAAAGTCCAGTGATTGACTTTGTGGTCATATCATCAGTCCTGTGGCCATATGTCTCAGACACTTGGGTCGACAAAGAAGCAGAGCTGTCAACTGATCACTACCTGGTGGTGAGTTGAATCAGATAGCAAGGGAGGTTGCTGGACAGACCCAGCAAACCCAAACATGTACTGAAGGTGAATTGGGAATGTCAGGTGGAGGCCCCTGTCTTTAGGCTCTTCAGCTCCCATCTTCAGAAGAATTTCTCAAGCCTTCCAGGGGACATGGAATCTGAGTGGGCCATGTTCAAAGCTTCTATTGTAGAGGTAGCTATTAGGAGCAGTGGCCAGAAGATAATCAGTGCCTGTTGGGTCGGTAACCTCCGAACCATGTCATGAGTAACAGCAAATCACAACTATTGTTTACACAGAGAGACAGACAAAATGCATTTGCAGAGTGGAGAAGCTCTGGTAAATTAGCGGAGTTGTGTTTGGAAGGTGAGGTAGCAGACACTGCTGAAGGTGTAATAAACACCACAGTCTTCCACAAGTATTCCCAGTGTTGCACAGAAAGACCCCAACATCGTACTTGTAGGTGTCACAAGTGGTTCCGCTGGAGTCTATTCTGCTGCCGGTGCTAGGCCACTGCCATTGCTAAGAGGTTTGCAATGCCTCTTACCTGCAGCTTAACATCTTTCTAATGAATGAATTTAACACTCTGTTCTGACAGACATAAACCACAAAATCACATCTCTGCTGTTTGCAGATGACATGGTTCTGTTGTCAGACCTCCAGCATGCACTAGGGCGATTTGAAGCCGTGTGTAAAGTGGTCAGGATGGTTCTATGCCAGAAACTGGTAAATTGCTCACTCTAGGTTTCCTCAAGCAATGGATGGATGGATGGAGAAAATTAGCTTTTTTCACAGCTACAATGCTAAAACCTCCTGCTATATGTAGAGCACCTACATCTATACCTTTATCTACAAAGTAGTACATGCATGGAACCTGCCTTGTCTGAACAGAATGACAGATAAACAGAATCAGCTTGATGTAGTTCAATATAAGTTTTGTATTTATAGAAAAATAACTATGGAACCCTCCTGGCTAAAGGTATACAGCCCCTCTGCTGAGCCTAAAATGTCCTCACAGACAACTACTATATGTAACCGAATGACTTTCTAGTCCATGCTCCACCCTTGGACTCAGCAACTACCACAAAATGTCAGCAATTCAGGGTCGCCAATGAGAAAAAAATAAGCAGGTTCTCTCAATTGTTAGCTTTAATGGCACTAAGTGCAGAGCCTTTAAACTTTACTGTTGACTTTGGAGTCACACAGAGGTAGAAGCATAGAGAGCCTGCAGGTGCACTTTCACTTTTTCCCTCACACATACACACGTGCATGCACACACATCTAAAGATGTCAGTGGGAGAGTTCGCTTCCAAATGTCAACTACGTGAGGAACACCGGAGCCAACTGTAACCAGCTGAAGTTGTACAATTCTACCTCTGTGGTGTATTGACAGAAAGGAGAGAGTGCAGGAGAGAAGGGGGTTGGTAGGAGAGGGGGTAGTGGTGGGGGGGGTGGTGCACTGTTGAGATACTGTTGAGTAGCTATATGGACAACATAAAAGCCTGGGAGTATGAGCAAGACAGAATGAAAGCAGATAAAAATGCAGAAGAACAGAATTAGGAAACACTTGGCTCTGCATCTCTATTTCCCATCAGTATTTTTTCATTATATTGGAGTGTCATTTTGGGTGAGAGGATGCAGACGCAAACAGGACTTTATCAGTGGATGTTTTTAATCACTATACTTAAATCAAAACATGAAGCAAAATATCTTTGTTCCTCCACTATTTTCTCCAGCATGAAAACATTTTAGCGAGATGTTGACTCCCACAGTGTTCTCTCACACAAAGACCAATGTTACATATACAGCCCAGTATTTGGATATGATCACATCATATGTTCTTAAGGCTCGATGTGACAGCAATTTATAAAAATTTGACTCAAAATCTAATATACATTTAAGTCAGTATGTGACAATGTGTGAATATGAAGAGCAAAGAGGTGAATATGCAAGTTAAGAAGACCTAAAAACAAACACTTATTAAGGAGACATCAAAGGAGGTCTGTCAAACATGGTGGTGCTTCTGTTATGGCTTGGGAAGGTATGACAGCCATTGGAACAGGCATACTGGCATTTATTAGTGATTGCACTGCTGACAAAATCAACAGGATGAATATAGGGATGCAGTGTGCTCTGATTTAGTCAGACGATCAAAACTAACGGGACA